TTCATGAAAATGGACTGCCACATTTTTCTCCCACGGAGCAGCTGTTGAGTTTAAACTACTGACCTTTTGGTTAGCAGTCAGTCACTTAACCATTGTGCTGCTAGAGCGCCTTTGAAATGAGGCTAGCCCATGTGGAATAAGTGCGTGGGGTTAGAACGCCCAGGCCATGTCGCCCAGTGGTGCAGCGTACGGAGTGCACTGAGGTGCGGGCGGCAAGCTGTGTTTGGCCTAGCGCTCGCTCCCCACGCTCCCAAACACGTGGCTGTTCCTTGCAGTTGCAGTGCCTCCACGTTGATGTCTGTTCTCTCCCTCCCTGTTTTTAAGTAGAAAGTTTCTAAAAAGCCTTATCCGGAAACAGCCCCAGCAGCTGCTCCTGGTCATCGGGACAGGTGTCAGTGCAGCTGTGGCCCCAGGGATCCCGGCCCTGCGCTCCTGGCGAGGCTGCATTGAGGCCGTGATTGAGGCTGCGGGGCAGCTGGAGGTGCTGCACCCCGGGGACATCGCCGAGTTCCGGAGGAAGGTGATGAAGGACCGTGACCTGCTGGTTGTCGCCCATGACCTCATCCGCAAGATGTCACCTGTGAGTCTCGCTGACAGGCTTCCTTGGCACTAACTTGGTCCTGGGGCAGGCGAGTGAGCCTGAATTTAATGCCAGTCTTCTGGGGGCATCTACTGTTCACTGCTGGGCAGGTCAGGCTGAGAAGCCCAGAATCCTGTAGTCCATCACAATGCCATCTTGTGAGATGTTGGTGATGCCAGGTTTTGTGTGGGGCTTCTGAAATCACCCCAACTCAATGGAGCTGGGTGGCAAGATGGTCTGAGGGGTCATCATGCACCATTGGGTGTGCACATGGGGGCTTTCTGTTCAGTGAGTGGAGGAGGGACCATTAGATGTATCTTCTCTGAGCAGGGCAGCTGTATCTGTAGATGATGAGTTATTCCTGGAAAACATCTGAGATGGGGGAGACAGCTTGTCTGCTGGTAGACATGGTCTAGCATGTCTTTGGTGATGCATGAGGTGCATGGCCTTAGGTGCATGGCCAGGTCCTCCATGGGAGCGGGTGCAGCGACAGGGCGGCCACTGTGCAGGCCCTAGGGCCAGTAAGGTGGGCAGTTTGGGTCCTCCATGGGGGCGGGTGCAGGGACAAGGCAGTGTTGGGTCCTCCGTGGGAGTAGGTGCGGTGAGAGGGCAGCTACCATGTGCAGGCCCCAGTGCCGGTCAGCTGGGCGTTGTGGCGGAGGCTGTGGCAGGTTTCTTCACATTGCTTATTGTTGTATTGAAGAAGACCCCAAACTGTCGTGGCTTAACTGCATTTCTTATGAACAAGCTTGTGGGACAGTCCCAGGGGAGCACGGAGGCTCACAGCGTTGGGGCCTAGTCTCCCGTCCTGACCGCCAATCTCTCCGTCTCATGCTCTGAGATAACCGTTCCAACTCTTGCTGTGACAAGCATGCTTGGCCAGTGAGGGAAGGAGGAAGTGGTCTCTAAGGGCCTGATGGGGAAGTCACGTGTGTGCCACTTCT